TAACACACACACACACACTATTTGTCTCTCTCCTCTCCTTTCCAAATTAAGGAATTCCCATTCTGACTTTGGTTCTCTCTTCATAGTAGCACTGGAGAGGCAGATTGGGAGCATGCTGTACTCCTAAGAACATGCCAAACTGGCTGGCTATTAGAAAGGACTATACCATGTTCCACAAAGAAGTGATAAAACTGAGAAAAGTAACCCGGAACTGCAGGATTTCACTGCTACTGCACTTTTAGTTTTCTAATCTGAAGGGAAAAAGGTAATACAGTGCCTCCATGTATCTCTCTTTCTTGGCAAGAGACAAAGAGCAAAACACAGTTTCAAGAGAGACCACATCCTTCTTTTTTCAAGTCTGATTTCAAACCTTGGTCATCCAGATAAAGAATGATTCACAAACAGAACTGAGACAATTTACTACATTTAAACTTTACAGATTATACATAAATGCACATATTATGACATGCAACTATGTAATAATTTACCAGTCTTTTACATAAGCATAGCCCATTTCTTGAAAAAATATATAACACCATATGGTCTCAGCACTATTAAGGATTAATAATTAAAAAACAGAGACCCACACTGTTATGAGAATGACCTATGTTTCAGACAATAAAGTGTTGAAGGATACTTTTTTCCTCATTTTTACCTATATATGAAATATACACACTTTACCCTACTGAAACTATATACATTTCAATTACTGTAATTCTTAAAATGATATTTAGAATTGTAATAATTTCAAATATCTTTATTATGGTCTTTGACAAACTTTTAGAATTGTAGTACAATTCCTTCCAATCTCATTCTATATATGTCATTATGAAATGTCAGCTCCTTCAAAGTATTACATACTGGGATTTGGGGAAAAAACTGTAAAGCAAGTTGTAGCCTAAGACAATAGGACCTGTAGAATTGCTGTAATGTCCATTCAGATGGGGATTTTATTTCTAAGGACAGCTACCAGGGAAAGGAAATTATGTCATAAGCATTATAGGAGTTTAAAAACAACATGAACTATGCTGGTTATCATATTTATATTTTTCAGTTTTCTTGGTTAGGAATAACTTATTTTCTACCACCATATTAAAAACTACAAATTTTTAATCTCATATAATTTGTGGACTCATTTCCTGCAAAATGAAAAAACCGTAGTAGTAATAATTGAAAATTGATCAATTTCTTGAACAGTAAACAATTGTTTTTTTCAGTTAGTATGATTTCAAGTTCAAGTTCTTTAAGAAATTAATTCAAGCTCTGAACAAGAATAGAATCCAGATGGGATGAATATCAAAACAACCAAAATCCTCCATAGCTCTTCCTTGTTTTCCAACTTAATGAGTTTCAAAAAACTATGCAACCACTGTTACTATTTAAAGAAAAAGAAGTTATATTATAAGGAAGCTAGAGTGAAATTTCAAGTTACAATCCAAATATTAAAAAGCAAAGATCTATGTTGATTTACAGGATACCGAAAATATATTATTTAAAATAATTTAAAGAGTCTGACTCAGGAGGAGCAGATTTCCACCCATCCACCCACAGGACTCCCTGCCCTTCCAGGAACGGGGAGAAAGATGAATTGCAATGTTCCCTTATATCTCCCTTCAACCAGCAGGAACCGTGGCTGATTCTCAGTTCTTTCAATGAAAAAGATGCCTTCTGTTTGTACAGATCATATTCTGGTTCCAACCCATGGGATTTGCATTAAAAATCTGACTATATTTAATAAAGTGAAATAACCAGCTTTTTACAATAAATAAAATGCATTTGAGTTAAAATCTGATATTTGATATGCCATAACACAACAGAAGACAAACAATGTAATTTGTGTGGCAATCGCTTATTATCTATTATTATTTACAGCAAACTATTCACAGCATGGACACTGGCTTCCCATTACTCTGACAACTATTGCTATGCTGAATAAAAGCTTTATAGGTTTTCAAGTATATGAATTCGGTATCCTCAGTGTGAACAGAAAAAGCCAAACAGAAATCCTTCATATTCCATTCCTAAATAGATATATATATTCTCTAATGCCAAAAAGCTTGCAGGTTGCATGAATAGAGGCATATTCATAGATTATGCTTCTATGTTTTTGATAAATATCTTAATTTTTATAAAACTATAACATAGTCCCTCAGGAAATAGATGTTGTCAAAATTGGTAGCCTGAAGCTGTATATTCAAGAAACTCTAGCAAGAGTAATTATTTACGGCATCCCAAATATTGTACTTTCAACGTGTGTACTCTTAAAGTCAGAGAGCCAGATTGGTGTATTGGTTACCGCACCAGGTTAGAAACTGAGAGACCGTGAGTTCTAGTCCTGCCTTAGGCATGAAGCCAGTTGGGTGATCTTGGGTCAGTCCCTCTCTCTCAGCCCTAGGAAGCAGGCAATGGCAAACCACTTCCAAAAAGTCTTGCCACAAAAACTGCAGTGGCAGTTGCCAGGAATCAACACTGTCTTGAAGACACCCCCCCAATAAATAAATAAAACATCTTCTTAAAGTTGGCACAAAAGTTCAAATGTGTTTGTTAACATGTTAACAAATTTGTTATCATTGCTGTTGTGTTGTTAGTGCCTCTTGTTTTTAAATTATAATTATTCTAAATTGATAATTATATAGTGTTCTTAATTTTAACTTATTTTTCCTAGCCCAACTTACTTATTTTTGAACATTGTTTAATTTAAAAGGAGTGAACAAGCAAGCAAGAGAGAAAGCTTTTGATTTATACTGGCATCTAACTGTAACAGTTGTTTAACAATATTTAATTATAAACTCAAGACAAGGCAGCTGACAAATCAGGCAATATTGCCTTATTTCACTTCATTTGCTATGCAGGAAACAAAAAAAGGTTATTTTGAGGATACAAATTCATATCAGTTCTTGAAAACAGATTTAAAAAAAACAAGACAGATACATGGTACTACTAAAGCAGTACATTAGGATTAAGCAAAAGTGGAACTATATACTAGCAACAGCTTTGAGAAAACATTCCACATAGTAACAGTTTTGTTATGTGAACAGTATCTTTCTGAAGAAGTATATCACAACACCTTTATTTAGTCCAATAATCATTATTATTGTTATTATCCTATCAAGTCCACCACAGATAATAGTTTTTTAAAATAGCAAATATTTATATGGCTTACCTTATCAATCATCTTGCGTGCTTCTATCTCTTCTGCATTGGGATTTTCCAGTTCAATAGTGTAAGTACCTTTATCACTTTGGTCATCATCATCCTTTTCCAGATTCACTGAAACAAGCTGAGTTTTTAACTTCTTCTCCATGTCCTCGTTTGGACTTGGTCTGTGCCCAAGGCTTCCTGAACTTCTTAACAATGTACTTTGTAAGAAAGGTAGTGCAGCAGAAGGCTCTTCTGATTTTTGCTTGAGAAGTTTTGCGTGCACTGCCCTGTGCTGGGTGGAGCTGTTCTGTGACAAAGATGAACAGCCTGGTGGAAGTTTCGCTTTTTCAGTTCTTGTAAGGGATGCTGGAGAAGGTGTTTCAGAGCACAAACCTCCTATGTTTTGAGAAAAAGAATATGATCTCCTCTTCCGGGGATGGCCCTCATCAAAGAATTCAATCATAAAAGCAGTTTGATTTAAAGCAGGTTGATCAGAATGTTTCTCTACATTCAGGACCTTTGAATGCAATTTTTTCTGTTCAGTATAATGATGCTTTAACTGGTCTTCAAGTGCAGCACGTTTACTGTAAAGCTTGTGCGCCCCAGCATTTTCTGAATCACTCTGTGTTCCATCGTCATGTTTATTTCCTGCAAACACAAAGAAAAGAAAAATCTAGCTCTCTATATTCAGCAGTAATGTGAAAAGAACATTCCAAAGTTAATACAAATACAGTATTTGGTTCTCTGTTAGAAGCTCAACTGTTCGTTAGTTAACAAGTCTTCAGGCTTCCCATAGCAACAACACACTCATTCAGACTTGCTATACAATAATGGAGTCTTTTGCCAGCTCACCACCAAGCGTTTGAATTGCCTTATTCAAAAAACATTCAGTTCTTAACCAATCATGCTCTGATGAAATCTGAACGCTATACTACAGCTATACCAAAATTAGAGCACAAGAGATAACTTCTTTTTCAATCAAAATGTATTAACCACTTGTTAGAATAACTCATGAGCTAGGAAAGAAAACTTGCTTCTAAATGTTCATGAAAAATAGAAAGCAAAAGAAATAACCATTGCATAGGCTTTACATCAACTGTTCATTATTGTCTGGAGAAAACTTAAACCTATGGCCCAGAGTAATTACTTGGGTTTCCAAAATACATTCCTTCATTTGTAATAATAGTGATAAGCTTAAGATTTTTTCTGCAATTAAATAATTCAATCTAGAACAGAGCAAAATAAGGTAATACTAATTTTTATATATCTCACTATAAAATGCAGTTTAGAATCACATGGAAAAGTTTCTAAGTTAACATAAAATATCTACCTGAATAAGTATAAATCAAGCATTTAATATGGAACACTTTATAGTAAGAAAGGGTCAGGATTATCAACAAGAATTTCCTCTATATAAATTGAGTAATTTCTCAAGGTTTCCCCACAAAGTTGATTGGCTGTGGAAATGCACTAATTTCCCTCCTTGCAACACCACAAAAAAGCACTATAGGAACAACTGTGATCTAGATACTGAATAAGTTTTAATATCCTTTCTTGACCAGGAAAGACAAGCCCTGAATACCATGCTTTCAACTATTATGAAAGTTGTGTTTCATTACAAGCCAGTAATTGTTTCTTGGCCTCATATGTGTATAATATCTAGGAGTCAAGACTGGAAGTAATGACAAAGCCTGGCTAGGGGTTGCACACAAAATGTTCAATACTGTAAATTAATGCAATACATTCCACACACAGCAATTACAACATTCTCTGCCAGCCCATCAACATCAGGTCACAAATAGCTTTTGAAAAGTACTCTCAAAAATACCCAAATCACAAGGTCATATTTTTAAAAAACAAAAGTCTAAAATTTCCTGTGCTCATGGAACTAGTAACTGTTGTTCTGAACCTGCCCACAGGCTTTATTTATATTTTTAACCCATTATAATCAGTAAATCTACCTTTAGCTGAAAACATTTTATTTCTTTTAGTTATGGATACAAAAATATCAGAAATCCTATTTTCAGTTGTATTCTATTAAAAAGTGTTATTGGAACATTATATAGCTATCAGTTTATGTATACAAGTTTTAAAGGAAATGTTTATTTTGGATAATAATACTTCAGTTAACATAAACACAATGCACAGTGTTTTGGTCTTGGTACAATTTGTTGTCAGTCAAAATGCTTTGACTAAAACATTTTGACCTGTAAGAACCCTAGCAAGGTGTAGTAACTGTATACATTTCTAGCAAGTGTACTTACATTAAGTATTCAAGGCAAAAGAAATAAAGCTGAAATTATTTATTTTACCTTTCAGTCTTTTCAAGTAGACTGGAACATCACTCTTAATACTTTTTGAATCTTCTTCTGATGCTTCCCACATCATTGTTGGGGGATTGTTTTGTGCTAACCAGTTTGCCACTTTACTTTCGGGTGCCATCATCACAGTTTGAAGCCCAGAAAGATCCTGAGCACCAGAAGGAGAAGGCTTCTTAGGCTTGGGACGCTGATCTGGAGTGAATTTTGTGACATGATCTTTGATGGTTACTTTTCCTGGGGTGCTGTTATCAAATTCAATAGTAAATGAAGCATGCCCCGCCCCTGCTATGTGTGTGTCTTTTGTTGGGATCTCATGAATAGTACCCTCACGGATTTGTGAATGTTGCTGGAATTCCTTTGTAGGGATTTCAAAATAACTTGGTTCCCTACAAAAAGGATAAGGTTCTTCTCCAGTTGCAGCTGCAGATTGCTCCTCAGCTTGCTTGCCATCTGTGCTGCCTCCTATTAAAAAAAATAAAGAAATTGAATTCTCCAATATTGTGCAACCCAAGTCTTCAAGGAATTTCAGAATCAGTATAAAAGCCAGGTGAAAATTCTTGAAAAAGAAATACAAGTTTGTGCAGAAAGAATGAAAAACAGTTTCAGAAGTGCAACTTTTTCCTACTTTGCTGGTGTTTTCATACTGAAGACATGCATTAAAAACTAGCATGCCCAACTGAAAGAAAGCTCATGAGGAATGTTGGAAAAATTTGGAATCTGTTAGATTTATTGATGTCAAATGTTGCCTTGATTTAATGAAGTCATTGATGATATCAAAGAGATGATTTTTTAGAAAATATTTTCAACTCCATGGGCCAATACTGAAATCTAAGTGTAGACTTAGCTTTAATTCAGATTTTAAATATACCTAGTAATATTTTATTTTAAAAATATGCCTGGGAAAACCAAGCAGATAAGGGAGATTGCAAAGATTCAAGACATTTTTTGAAAATCCAAATTTTAAATTACAGAAGGGAAATGAAGATCAATTTAAAATTAAATTTACTATAGCAGCAAAAAACATGTAGAATGTTGTAAATTTCTTACTTTCTGATGAGCAAAGAATATAGTAGAAGAAGAGAGACAATGTACATTCGGAATAAATGGTAAATCAAAGCTTTTATGAAAGATTATGCAATTAGCATAATAAGCTTGACAGCCAACTGTCAGGGATGTGAATAGAACCACAAGCAACTGGTGCTGAAAAGAACACTGGATAGTAGGTAGAAACTACTGAATTAAGAAGCATAGTTTACTTTAAGATGCATATAAAAAACAAAAAGAAAAATTTAAGATATTAATAAAATTTTAAGAAATCTTTCAATATGTTTACACTATGGATGGGAAAAATGGCCCCGTGTTATGCAAAATTTATTTTAAAACGGTCACCAAAGCAAGCAGCAAGCAGAATCCATGAGGTTTTTCAGAAATAATCACATTTAATTTAAACATAAAGGTTTTTTAGAAGGGTAACAGGAACAGACTTTCCATCTATTTTTAAAGTTGAAGAATTATTGATAGTGGCAATGAATGAGAAATAGTATATAGTATTCTGTGATCACTAATCTAAAAGAAGTAGCTGAGGCTTTCACTGTTTTACAATAATGATAAAATGTAAAACTTTTATCTAATTCTGAAAGATTACATTACATCCAATTAAGACACACAGCTTTATGCACAATATCTTACAATTTGAGAAAGAAGACAATTGCTCTAGAATGTGCAATTTATTATTTTCTGAGAAAGGAACCTGTTAAAATTAATTAATAAAATAAATTTTTCAGTAATTTAATTGGTAGAAAAAATAAATTTGTGTATTGCTTTGGGGGGAGGAATATGCATTTATAAAATATCCATTTAATTAAGCAATAAATATAGTGTATATGTATGTGTATATGTGTATGTATGTATATGTATATGTGCATATATGTGTGTGTGTACACACACACACAGACACACAGACACACACACATATATATATAATATATAGGCAAGAATGTCTTTATATCCAATCCAATGTGTTTATTATTATAAAAAACGTTTTGTTATAGACCCAAAGGTTCACCTGGATAAGCAGAACCTTTTGTTGCTGTTGTTTAGGTAGCTGCTACCAAATCTGTTTCTCATGATGTAGCCTCTCAAACAGAATCCTGTTTTCTATAGCACACGTAGAATATCCACTTCAGTATCTCTGGATCAAAGTCAGTGGATTATATTCAACTAGGTCTGGTTATTAAGGAAATGGTATTCACCATTCTAAACAATTCTTCTCCCCATGTATTCACCAAATCTGTTCCAAATGACTGGAGAAACTTCTAGAATAGAGGTGAGATTTCTAAATGTAGGGAGGAGGGGAAATGGAGAGTAGAGTTAAATCTTCTTGTGTGAATCTTGTGTAAGTCTTCCAGAACAACACTGAATATAAAGATTTTAAAGTGTAACACTGTTCAGACTGTTCCTCCAATATGCTTTTTAGAAAATCTCTCTCTTTTTTTTAAAGGGAAAGCTGTTATTGGGTTTCTGGTTGTTAAATCCCCTTACCTTTTCTAGTAAATACTGTTGCATGCAAAATGTTAAGGAGTTCTCTGCCAGGATGCTATATAATGCAGTATTGGTGGGGACCAAAATGGGTCAGTTGCTTGGTTAACATGCAATGCAGAGCTGTCCACATATCAAATGAATTGTATTTGCATGAGAATAATTAACTGCACATATGGATCCAAAATCAGAAACCAGGATTCTGGAAGTGAGAACAGCAAGCTTTTGTTTGGAATGGAAGAAAGCACAGCACATCGGGAAGTTAGAAATACTTAGGACAAACATGGAGCAGCATTGGTTAATAACAGGGTAGGAACAGCAGGTGCTAAGAGCGAACTGGGTAAGGAAGCTGAGGTGGCTGGTAGCAAAGACCACGGAAGACCAAAGACTGAACTGAAACACAGTGTTTCCCGAGGCACACTGTGACAGGATGGATTTTGGACTGAGACAGATGAAAGCCATTGTTTATGTGAAGAAAAGGATTTTAAGGAGCAGGAATGTGAAACAGAGGTTCTACGATATTCATCAGCGCAACAGTTTGTTTCTAGATAGAGGAGAACAGCTGTCCATAGAAAGTAATGGTGGCAGAGAATAATTTCTTTGATGGCCAATTTCCTACTTACTTTGTAACCATGTTATAAATTATTCACCATTAAACAGGCCACTTAATTTAGTATTCTGACAATTAAGCTAGAAAGATTTGCTTTATTAATTAAAACTGTTCCAAAATCTAAGGTTTACAATGCTTTTCAGCCAAAATTCCTCAGCATGTCAATCATAATGTCAAGTCTATGAACTGATCCTGACTTAGCTGCATATGCAGAGTTATTTCAATAACCAGAAGCACTGAAAAACGTTAATGAAAAACTACAGATAGTTAAGCTTAGTTGGCCCATTCCCTCTGAAAAGTTTTGGTTTATTATTTCTACTCAAGTTAGCCCCAGAAGCGAAACCTGCAGTAAGTCTCGAAGTAGTATTGTAGTTAACTAGCCCTGTCCTTTTCTAAGATACTTTAGCCTATTTTTTCTGTTGCATTCTTTGCCGTTGTTCTTTCCCCCTCCTTCCACAAACGTCAGTCAGCATTCCAGGTCTACCATGTATGTTCAGTCCTCATGGCTTCATCTTTGCCCCTTTCCCTTGCAGTATTTTTATACATCGGCTTTTCTTGAACCTGCATACTTCTTATGTTTGTGGATGGAACAAATTTTGTTACAGAAGGATTGGCACTTGGAGGAGAACTGATACACACACACACACACACACACACACACAAATACACAAACATACACACAATGATGAGACATATTTGCTGGGGATGCAGCATTACTGTATTCTCAAATGTTTATATTGAAGTTACATTATAGCAACTTCACATATAAAGCTAAACCACAAGGATAATTGTTTTGTGCCTGTTATAAAACCACACAGAATTATACTTATAATCATTAAAACTAAGGAAGCCAAAATCTTGTTTTGTCTGGAAAAATTTACTAGCTTGGAATCTGCAGTATCTTTTCAGACTACAAAAACCAGTGACAAGATGAAAAACTGATATAAACATCAAATAGCTATGCAAGTGCCCAGACAATTAAATGGCAGAAGTGCAGTAAAATCCAGGATACCTTTAATCATTATGAAATGTTGTGATCCCTCACACTTTTCAAAGTGTTTACTATCAAAGGAATTGAACCTTTAGAAAAGACAGATTGCATTTATAATTGATGTGTTACAGATTTTAGTCTAGCTCTAATTTTATTTCACAGGCTGGACCTTAATTATTTATTGGGTTACATCCAATGATAAGGGGGACACGGTGGCGCAGCGGCTTAATGACGCTGAAAGTTGCCGGCCAGAAATGGTCG